CATCATGAAAATTTTCGAATTCGGCTTCCCTGAGGAGTTATCGACTGAGTTTTGCGACAACCCGGAATTTTGGTAAATTTGTCCAATTTTCAAACCAAAGTTTACCCCTTCCGCGTTTCCCCCAGGAACATGGTACCTGAATTTTTTTATGGCATACCTCCGCCAGGTTGTCCCGCGTCGAACGCAACCAGGTTGAGCCCGATAGACCAAGCGGTCGCCGAGAAAGAGGCGTTTTCGTGGAGCGACGAGAAAAAAGTGACCGATCATTTCCAAAACGCCCGCAACAGGTGATACTGGCCGAAATCGTCACCGCTGAGGACGGAATTGTGTCAGTCAGGGCGAGAGCTGTTGATTGGTGGGTTATTCCATAAAGTTTCATCCAGCTGTTCAAAAGTTAGGGCCGGGACGAGCAGAGGGAAAAAAAGTCCCGACTAAAAATGACCACCTGTATGCTCCGGTATCGGGGTTTCGATATTTGAGGCCGCACGCATTCGGGAATAGGCCAGTGAGGGTGGTCAGCAGCAAGGTTCCATCTAGTTCCCCTGGTAACTCTATCGGTTCCTCGCCTTCTTCCTCCGCAACCTGGATGTCCGAGGTCCATCCATGAACCTCGGACATTCATTTACGGCACGTTCATTTACGTTCGCCGCGCAGCGGGAACTGATGCCTCGGTCCATCATCCATCATTGCTCATGCATATGGCTTCATCTATGCAATGAGGGACGTCATCGAGCGGATCGAGGAATCGACGTTCAATGAGAATCGAGAGATACACGCGGAATCAGCCATGTTATCATTATTCGAATCGCGGGCAGTCGGATTCGAACCTGCAGACCTCCTAGGACCCATGTTAGATAAATCTGCGGCGCTGACCACCGAACCATCCTGCCCTGGAGTGGTGATTGGGATTCGGTTTCTAAAAGGGGACGCTTTCGGAACGTGAATTGAGGATCATACTGATCTTCTCTCGAGCTCCAGATTTACCCCACCACCACGCCGCCGAAAAGTTAGCGCGTGCGTCGCCTGCAGCCGTGCGCTATGTTGACGCCACCATCGTCGGGGAGGGGGGAGGGGGAGGTGCCGGGTGCCGGAGTGCCGAGTTCAATCCCCGGGGCCAGCCGATATTTCTTGCTGGGGAATCGGGAATCGGGGAATTGAGGTCGGGATAAGCGATTGCACTATGGGAAGCAAGCGGCATCGCTCGTACCCTCCCCCGCCATTACTTGCGGTAGTGACGAGGGAAAATTAAGTATTAGAGAATTAGAGCTCCAGATCCAGATCTCATGCCGCGTTCTGAATTTCGGCGAGAGACGTTAAGAAAGTCAGAGATCTCTGACTCTCAGTCTAGGTAATTCGAAAATCAAAGCTCAAATTTGAACGACGAAGACGAAGTTGATCGCATATCGCGTCTCTCCGGAAATACAAAATGTCGGTGTCCGGTGTCTGGTCTGGTGTATGCGCGATGCACAGCAACGGATACGGATCGAATTTCCTTGCAGCTAGGCAAGATCCGTCGGTATGAGCCCCCGGCTACGCGCACTATTCAGAAAAGAGACACCGTGTGGGGAAGCTCTCAATGGTGCTTCAACACCTTTGCATCCGGACACTGTGCCGTCGCCTACGAGAAGGAGATCCAAGCGGTTCCAATGAGCACTCGCTACAGGTCACCGGAACCTCGAGCGAGGACGGAGGTTGGGTTTGATAGCATTTCGATGATCTACAGATGTGCGTCCCTGATTTAACCGGATTGTTTCGTGAGCCTCATCCCCCCTGCAATCATAACGAGGCGATCATCGCAATCACCAGATTTGTTCGGTGAAACCCTTTGGCATCGTCATGATTAAGAATGGAGGAGGCCGAAGCATGTGAAGCGACGGGAGGCCCGAAGATTTTGAATGAACTCCCGAAGATTTTGTCGTACCGCCACTATGTGAGGTGACCTATCATAGAGAGTTCGTCCCACGAAACAATAGATCCCAAAGCCCCATGGGATTACCACATGCATGACGGGGACCCTTCCAGTGTTGAGCGGACTTTTGTTCGGAGCCCGCACCCGAGCCTTGGCCGCGACCCTAGCCGGGAATTTGGGAGATGCGACTAATCATCGACAATCAGCGCGATCAACTCCATCCGTAGCTGGAAACGGATCGAAAAAGCGAAGACGACCGCGTATCGCAGCACGCTCGACGCAGCTCCCGATGCTAGACCCGGAGCCCCGGGGAGTGATGGTGGTCGGGCGAGGAACGATGATGATAGAATCTGATAAGCTCGTCCCCCGCATCTCGCGATCCTGGAGCCCTTTCGAAACGGGAGATCGCGGGGGACGCGGAGCAAACACGGGACGCCAATCAAATTCTCTGCGCGTGCAAGTAGTCAGCGAATGACAACCGCGCGACTTCTGCGCTTACCGATCGTCGGAAAAAGCTGAGCATCTGATCGTACCGAGCAGCGGGACGAATCTCCGACTACCCGCTCACGAGCTTTTCCATTGCGTTCCAGCCAATCGTAAATGTACAAAGGACGAATTCCGATGCACAGAACCAGATGGTCGGTGCCTGAAGAAGAGATTCCGTTGCGACGGTCGTCAAGATTGCAAAGACGGCGCTGACGAGCTCGGATGCGGTGGGTCTCACTATGATCTCGTGACGAATAAAATGAATTGCGTCGTTTCTGACATCTCGATCCCCTCCGATCGAATCTATCATCGGTCTCTGAGTTCTCACGCTCGAAATCTCTTCCAGTCCGACCTACGTGCTCGTCCGTTCAATTCGAATGCCACCATGGAGGCTGCATCAGCATAAAATGGGTTTGCGATGGTGACGAAGACTGTCACGACGCGTCGGACGAGGTGGACCGTGAAAGACCGAAGAATTGCTCCTCGAAGCGCTTCCAATGCGCCAATGGGAAGTGTGCGATGTTAGAGTAAGCGCGATACTTCCAATTCGAGTTTCAGCAGCGATTTTCCCGCCGCCGCGTGATCTTGCCGTTAAGCAGCCCGTGCGAAACACGTGACGGACTGCCGTGTTCTGTATTGAGATGGAATTCGATTCCAGCTGGGTGTGCGATGGCCGGGACGATTGCGGAGATAAGAGCGACGAGCTCGATTGCCCCCACGTGAATCGTAATCTGACCTGCAACGATACCCAGTTCCAATGCCAGGACGGCTCGACATGCATCAGCCTCCACTGGAAACGTGACGGAGCTCCCGACTGCTGGGACGGGTCCGACGAGCGCGATTGCGCCGAAGAATGTCAAGAGGATCAGTATCAATGCCACGGCGGCGAATGCGTCGGCGCGGACCTCGAGTGCGACGGTAAATCCGATTGTGCGGACGGGACCGATGAGCACCCGAGGTGTCCCGGTGAGTTATGGCGTGATCGACCAACTCGTCGATTCGTCTTCATAACCCGAGGGATCCCTCCGATGCGAATTGTTTCTTCCACATTGCAGGAATAATCGTCAAACACATACCTTGTAACACCTCGA